AATAATAATAATAATAATAATAATAATAAAATAATAATAATAATAATAATGATGATAATAATAATAATAATAATAATAATAATAATAACGATGATAATAATAATAATAATAATAATAATAACAATAACACAAATAATGATATTAATAATAATGATGATAATAATAATAATAATATTATTATTATTAATAATAATAATAATAATAATTATGGTAATAATAACAATAACTACAATGATTATAATAATAATAATAATAACAACAAGAATAATAATAACAACAATAACAATAACATTAATAATAATAATTGTCACAAAAAATCTCTTTTTGTCCATGTTTGTCAAGTTGCCAGATCTTGCATGAACCTCATCACCTCACACAATTGACAAACTATTCAATACTCATAGTATTTTTTAGCTCAATCTGGCAACATGCATTATAACCCAGTTGCACTGTTAATTTCTGCACCGTCAGTAGTAGCAGTATATAGTATAGGAGTTATTTAATAAAAAAAATAAGTTACCAAAGAATCACTTTTTTCCATGTTTGTCACATTGCCACATCGTGAAGCTCATCACCTCACAATTGAGGAAATATGTAAAACTCAAAGTATTTTTAGGTCAATCTGGCAACATACATTATAACCTGGTTGCGCTGTAGATTTCTGCACAGGTAGTAAATGCAAGATTTGAATGGCGGCGTTAGCAACGTCATTAGTAGCAGTAGATAGTATAGGAGATATTTAATACAAACAAGTTACAAAAAATCTCTTTTTATTTGTCAAGTTGCCAGATCTTGAATGAAACGTAACATCTTACACAATTGAGGAAATATTCTATTTTCAAAATATTTTTTAGCTCAATCTGGCAACATACATTATAACCTGGTTGCGCTGTAGATTTCTGCACAGGTAGTAAATGCAAGATTTGAATGGCGGCGTTAGCAACGTCATTAGTAGCAGTATATAGTATAGGAGTTATTTAATACAAACAAGTATTAACAAAATCCCTTTTTTCTCAAGTTGCCAGATCTTGCATGAAGCTTAACATCTCACACAATTGACAAACTATTCAAAACTCAAAGTATTTTTAGCTCAATCTGGTAACATGCATTATAACCCAGTTGCGCTGTTAATTTCTGCACAGGTGGTAAATGCAAGATTTGAAAGGTGGCGTTAGCAACGTCAGTAGTAGCAGTGTATAGTATAGGAGTTATTTAATACAAACAAGTTACCAAAAAATCAATTTTAGTCTGTGTTTGTAAAGTTGCCAGATCTTGTATAAAGCTCATCACCTCACACAATTGAGGAAATATTCAAGTCTCAAAGTATTTTTAGCTCAATCTGGCAACATGCATTATAGCCTGGTTGCACCGTTGATTTCTGCACAGGTTGTACATGCAAGATTTGAAAGACAGTGTTAGCAATGTATATACTATAGTAGATATTTCATACAAGCAAATTACCAAAAAAAAAAAATCTATTTTTTTTTCCTTGTTATATTTGAAGTATAATAATAAATAGGTATATGAAATGTGCTGCTTCCAACCTCCTTTATTCAGCCGTAGTGCCTTCTGGGACATTGCGAGTACTATGAAATTCGATGCATCCTCAATATCAATAATACACAATTCTGTCACGGGTCCTCTGTTCTTGCGGATTTGAGTATTAAAACTTTTGCAGTTGATGATGATGATGATGATGATGATGATGATGATGATGACTTTACACGAAAACACAAGGATCGCTTAAGACCGCACATCGAGAAGCAACTATAGTTCACCCAAAAACTGAATTTAGTTTCTATTTACTCACACTCAAGTGTTTTCAAACCTTCATGAGTGTCTTTTTTCCTGTTGAACACAAAGATACTTTGAAGAAAGCCAGTTGCTATGGAAGTCAATGGTTACAGGTTTCCATCATTCGTCAAACTACCTTCCTTTGTGTTCAACAGAAGAAAGAAACTCAAACAGGTTTGAAAGGAGTGAAGGGTGAGTAAATGATGACAGATTTTTTGTGTTAAAGATGCAGATATTCTGAGGATGAATTGAGCTGTCAGTCGTGCGATGGATCTATCCTTCCAGACTGAAGCAGAGATACGTCTTTAATTACCGGCCGGCTGATTTTCTCTCTATGCTTCTGTCATGGCACTTAAAAGATACATCTGTCTCTCCTCGCGTCCTGCGTGTCAAGCTATTATAATCATTACAGGAAGACTGCAGGCTAGAACAAAAGCAGCTTTGAGCTAGCGCCGCGAACGCTGTCATTTCTACACAAAGAGAGCAAAGTTAAAAGCACAGACGGGAACGAGAGAAGGTCTCTGTGTTTATATGTCTCTTTGTGGCCTGCATGTAAGCGTCTCCGGGATAATCCCATTAGGATGTGTTCGGACAATCTCAGGGTCGTGGCTTTAAAACACGCTGAGCTTTTATGATGGAGCAGGTTTAAAGTTCATCAGGGTTTCTGCAGGTTTCATCAAGTCCAATTTAACTTTCTTTTCAAAAGTTTGAGTTTTATGAGATTTTTTGTCTTGTTTATAGTCCAAATATCAAGATAATTTCAAGAAAATGATCCTTAATTTAAGTTTGTTTAGATATTTGGACCAGAAACAAGACACAAACTCTGTAATGCTTTGTAATATTAGTTAATGCATTTATTTATATGAACAAACAATGAACAGTAGCTTTATTACAGTATTTGTTCATGTTAGTTAAAGGGTCATGACACACCAAAACACATTATTTGAGCTGTTGACAGTCGTGTATGTATCCCACGCTGCTAAAAACACTATTAGGGCACATATATTTCACAAAAAAAAAAAAAAAAATCATCATGATTTTGCTTTATTTCGAGCAAATTCATTCTTCCGTTTGTGACAAGTTTTTGAAGCTGCGTCACGCCGATTAGATCCTTGTGTGCAGAGGTGGATAGAGTATCCAAAATCTATACTCAAATAAAAGTACTTGTGGAAATTTTTACTCAAGTAAAAGTTTAAGTATATATATATATATATATATATATATATATATATATATATATATATATATATATATATATATATATATAAAATGAAAAGTAATAATAATAATAATAATAATAATAATAATAATAATAATAATAATGATAATAATAATAACAACAGGTGATTCATTCTGCTGTGGCGACCACAGATTAATAAAGAGACTAAGATGAAAAGAAAATGAATGAATGAATGAATGAATGAATGAATGAATGAATAATAACAACAACAATAATAATAATGATAATAATAATAATAATATTAATAATAATAATAATAATAATGATAATAATAATAATAATAACGATAATAACAATAATTATTATAAAATAAAATATAATAATAATAATAATAATAATAATAATAATAATAATAACGATAATAATAATAATAATACTACTACTAATAATAATAATATCAATAATAGTAATAATAACAATAACAACAACAAAAATAATAATAATAATAATAATAATAATAATTATTATTATTATTATTATAAATTATAAATTATGTCACAAAAAACGTAATGTTTATGTTATTTGTTCAATACTCATAGTATTTTTTACCTCAATCTGGCAACATGCATTATAACGCAGTTGCACTGTTAATTTCTGCACCGTCAGTAGTAGCAGTATATAGTATAGGAGTTATTTATTACATACAAGTTACCAAAGAATCACTTTTTTCCTTGTTTGTCAC